CTACTCAGCCAGCCGAAACTCTGAAACAATAATCCAGCCAACTGGATTCGGTATATCTATATTTATTCGTAGGTGAATTTAACTATGCAGGATCCAATTATTCCCATACATGCACACTTCTTCGATTAAGCTTGTGTGACAAGTGCCTGATTAATTGATGAACTTTCGGAATGCCTTTGATTTCTCGACGCCGTTTCACCCATCAACAAGAATTCAAAATTCTTATCCTTCAAATATATCCTTAAGTCGAGGCTTAGAGTGGCAGCAATTGGTATTAAAATGATTTTTATTTCGGAGCTATTGCAACTATATATACTACATCTTCATCTCGGGACTTCCACCCACGTTCTCAGGACTATGAGATATTTGAAAAAAAAGAAAGAAATATCCCTCTTTATCGCGGTGGCAATTATTTCACGTATACCCTAAATTGTTAATTGTCGATCTTATCGAAATATTTGGAACGGCTGCGCCTTACTTAACCCAAGGATTAAGGTGCTAAAAAAGTTTTCAGCGTCGAGCGTGAAAATTTCAACGCTTCGACCTTTTTCAATTGCATGCAGCGATTTGCGTGCGCGAATATTTTCACGCCCTGGCATTCAACTGCCCTCTGCCCCTGCAGGCCCTCACCCCTGCCCTCGGCAGCAGTGCACTTGCAACCCCGGACGCTAGCGAGAGAACTATGCTCCAATGAGGCAATGGCCAGACGCAGGCGCCGACTAAAATGGGCGGAGCTAGCAACCATCCCCTATACGCCAGTTAACTGGCCCAGCGCACTATTTGGCAGCCGGAGCTGATAGATGGAAGCGTGATTTTTAAATCAAATTCTTTATTGTTATGGACGGACGTTCTCCATCGATGGCGATGCGACACCATATCCAGTTTGAATACCAATTCGCCGCCGGTGATTGCAGACATCCAGCACCGACGCATAGCTATATCTATCTAGCATCATAGCTTGGTCTCTATATATATCTTATTTTTTTTTTTTGAGATTGTGAAAGTGAGCTACAAATAAGATTCGTGTTGTACGTAGAAAACAATGCCCATGGCACCTGAAAAATGTTAATGTTAAAGTGTAACAAAAGATGGCAACGGAATAGAATGGCACTCGCAGGACGAAATTATTTGGATGGAACCCATAAACTTTCGAGATCCATAAATAGCGACTAGCTATGAAATCTTTGGAAAGGCGAGATCTGTACAAACCTAATGTTTTCGGCATTGACGCAATCGAATGTTTATTACTGTCCATACAACAGATATCCACCTATGTTCCACTCTTGCGGGTAAAACGTTGAGATCGTAAACCGAAATTATTCTGAATAAACTAGATCGCTTTTGTTGATTTCTGTGCTCTCGGGCAGAAGGAAACATACAAATAAAACCAAAGTTATATGCAACAGCTCCGCGCGGAGATATGACGTTCCAAAACGACATAATATCTCGGGTAATAGATCCGCGGGGAGATATGACGTTCCAAAACGACATAGCTCCGCGCGGAGATATGACGTTCCAAAACGACATAGCTCCGCGCGGAGATATGACGTTCCAAAACGACATAGCTCCGCGCGGAGATATGACGTTCCAAAACGACATAGCTCCGCGCGGAGATATGACGCTCCAAAACGACATAATATCTCAGGTAATAGATCCGCGGGGAGATATGACGTTCCAAAACGACATAATATCTCGGGTAATAGATCCGCGGGGAGATATGACGTTCCAAAACGACATATCTCCACGCGGAGATATGACGTTCCAAAACGACATAACTCCGCGCGGAGATATGTCGTTCCAAAACGACATAATATCTCGGGTAATAGATCCGCGCGGAGATATGACGTTCCAAAACGACATAGCTCCGCGCGGAGATATGACGTTCCAAAACGACATAATATCTCGGGTAATAGATCCGCGGGGAGATATGACGTTCCAAAACGACATAGCTCCGCGCGGAGATATGACGTTCCAAAACGACATAATATCTCGGGTAATAGATCCGCGGGGAGATATGACGTTCCAAAACGACATAGCTCCGCGCGGAGATATGACGTTCCAAAACGACATAGCTCCGCGCGGAGATATGACGTTCCAACACGAAACAATATCTCGGGTAATAGCTTCGCGCGGAGATATGACGTTCCAAAACGACATAATATCTCGGGTAATAGCTTCGCGCGGAGATATGACGTTCCAAAACGACATAGCTCCGCGCGGAGATATGACGTTCCAACACGACATAGCTCCGCGCGGAGATATGACGTTCCAACACGAAACAATATCTCGGGTAATAGCTTCGCGCGGAGATATGACGTTCCAAAACGACATGATATCTCGGGTAATAGCTCCGCGCGGAGATATGACGTTCCAAAACGACATAATATCTCGGGTAATAGATCCGCGCGGAGATATGACGTTCCAAAACGAAACAATATCTCGGGTAAGAGCTCCGCCCGGAGATATGACGTTCCAACACGACATAATATCTCGGGTAATAGATCCGCGCGGAGATATGACGTTCCAAAACGACATAGCTCCGCGCGGAGATATGACGTTCCAACACGACATAGCTCCGCGCGGAGATATGACGTTCCAACACGAAACAATATCTCGGGTAATAGCTTCGCGCGGAGATATGACGTTCCAAAACGACATGATATCTCGGGTAATAGCTCCGCGCGGAGATATGACGTTCCAAAACGACATAATATCTCGGGTAATAGATCCGCGCGGAGATATGACGTTCCAAAACGAAACAATATCTCGGGTAAGAGCTCCGCCCGGAGATATGACGTTCCAACACGACATAATATCTCGGCTAAGAGCTCCGCGCGGAGATATGACGTTCCAAAACGACATAGCTCCGCGCGGAGATATAACGTTCCAACACGACACAATATCTCGGGTAATAGATCCGCGGGGAGATATGACGTTCCAAAACGACATAGCTCCGCGCGGAGATATGACGTTCCAAAACGACATAATATCTCGGGTAATAGATCCGCGGGGAGATATGACGTTCCAAAACGACATAGCTCCGCGCGGAGATATGACGTTCCAAAACGACATAATATCTCGGGTAATAGATCCGCGGGGAGATATGACGTTCCAAAACGACATAGCTCCGCGCGGAGATATGACGTTCCAAAACGACATAGCTCCGCGCGGAGATATGACGTTCCAACACGAAACAATATCTCGGGTAATAGCTTCGCGCGGAGATATGACGTTCCAAAACGACATAATATCTCGGGTAATAGCTTCGCGCGGAGATATGACGTTCCAAAACGACATAGCTCCGCGCGGAGATATGACGTTCCAACACGACATAGCTCCGCGCGGAGATATGACGTTCCAACACGAAACAATATCTCGGGTAATAGCTTCGCGCGGAGATATGACGTTCCAAAACGACATGATATCTCGGGTAATAGCTCCGCGCGGAGATATGACGTTCCAAAACGACATAATATCTCGGGTAATAGATCCGCGCGGAGATATGACGTTCCAAAACGAAACAATATCTCGGGTAAGAGCTCCGCCCGGAGATATGACGTTCCAACACGACATAATATCTCGGGTAATAGATCCGCGCGGAGATATGACGTTCCAAAACGAAACAATATCTCGGGTAATAGATCCGCGCGGAGATATGACGTTCCAAAACGACATAATATCTCGGGTAATAGATCCGCGCGGAGATATGACGTTCCAAAACGACATAGCTCCGCGCGGAGATATGACGTTCCAAAACGACATAATATCTCGGGTAATAGCTTCGCGCGGAGATATGACGTTCCAACACGAAACAATATCTCGGGTAAGAGCTCCGCGCGGAGATATGACGTTCCAAAACGACATAGCTCCGCGCGGAGATATGACGTTCCAAAACGACATAGCTCCGCGCGGAGATATGACGTTCCAAAACGACATAGCTCCGCGCGTAGATATGACGTTCCAAAACGACATAGCTCCGCGCGGAGATATGACGTTCCAAAACGACATAATATCTCGGGTAATAGCTCCGCGCGGAGATATGACGTTCCAAAACGACATAGCTCCACGCGGAGATATGTCGTTCCAAAACGACATAATATCTCGGGTAATAGATCCGCGGGGAGATATGACGTTCCAAAACGACATAATATCTCGGGTAATAGATCCGCGGGGAGATATGACGTTCCAAAACGACATAATATCTCGGGTAATAGATCCGCGGGGAGATATGACGTTCCAAAACGACATAATATCTCGGGTAATAGCTTCGCGCGGAGATATGACGTTCCAAAACGACATAACATTACAAAATGGTAAGGGGTTAGGTTATATCACGTTTTTTATCAAAATCGAGGTCGGTGCGAAAATCAAAACTTTTTCGATGATTTTTTTTAATATCTTAATCTCAAAACGACAGAACTTCGCGCGGATCTGCCAAGGATCTCATAACATATAAGAGCTATAGACTTGAAATTTTAGATGCGCAGATTGAGTTTGTTTTCGATAATCGATAACTTACTCCGTTTCCAAGCAATCGATAAAAATCGATATCGATATCCTGTTTTTTGGCCAATTTTGGTAAATAAAAACTTGACAGATAGCTTCTAAAATAGAATACATATATGCATTTGATATTGGAAGAAGAGGGTTCAGAGTATCCCCTAGTCGGGAGCTCCCGACTAGAACCTCTTATTGTTTGATTTAAATATGTTGTCAATTATTTAATTTTAGCAAGGAGCTGTTGGTATGTTGGCTACATATGCCGTCGGTTGATAAGTGCGCGCGTTCCAACACATCAACAAAGATGTATATAAACTTATTTCAGGTTGACAGTACGCTCCCAATCTCGAATAGGTAGATTGTATAATACATACATTTTCTTGTGAGTTGCTTATTCGGAAAGCTGATTCAAGCTAGTTCTCTAAGTTGGCCAGGTGATAAAACTCGAAGAGTAGGTTGCTACTCTGTCGTATTGACATTTTAAAATACATTCATTCACAATGGATGTCACATACGATGAATGGAAGCAGATCCTGGCCGGACTCCTCGCTTACGTGCTTGCAGCTATTGTCGCAGTGCCCGATTACCTGCTCAAGTTGTGGCAGAGTTTTCGTAGATTCTATAGTAAGATCTATATCTTTCTAAATGTGTTTTCAATTACCTATGGCATTATGCTATGTAATATCAAAATAAGGATCGAGCAGCTGGCCCTGAGCTACGATCAAATCTGTGCATTGAAATTATGCGCTCTTCTATGGTCCCTGATATTGGCCTTCCTGTGCTACTTCGGCTGTCTGGCGTCTAAGCTCATACTCAACCAGTATCGAGTCCAGGCTCTGGCCAGGCAGCGGTCACGTCAACTCTACAACTTTAATCGCCAGCAGCAGCTAAAGATGCAAAACCGCATGCTGTAGATTCGGCCGTATCATAATGTATAGATCGTGCTTTATTTTAATAAATTTCCCAGTTATCTGGTTAGTGAGAATGTTTTGTTAAATTAATCAATAAAGTTTAACTCAAAAGCTGAAATGTGGTCTCTCAAGATTAAATACTCTTACGGGCATATATCAGATTTTGTTCACTTAGAAAAAAGCTTTGCTCTCTTGCCCGCTTCCGGCAAAATGCAGTTACATATGTATTTAAAGAAACAATGTTTTATTTTGTGCATGGGAAATTGAATGAACTGCAATGATATAAACTGCCGAAGTCTGGACGGAGCTACAGATGAACATTTCTTTTGCATTCATAAATGAAATGAAGAAGAAACTAGCAAGAGTTTAGCTCGTTTTTGTTTGTTTATTGTTTATAATTACGCCACAAGCGCGAAACTCTACTCTGACAAGTTTACGAAGGAGCCTAAGCCTAACTGCTCCTGGAACACGTCGAGCTGACGAGGGTAGGAATGGAGGATTATGAAGCGACATGCAAAATCTGGATGTGAGACGGTCAGTTTAATTTAAGTTAATATAATACACATTTCTATATATATAACTCTGATCTGACTGTGATCAGAACACGGCCCAATCTGTAAGAGCTGGGCAGCTAAAATGTTGAAGCTGCACCCACAAATGTGGAAAAATCAGGAAAAACGGTTGCCTAAAGCTAGTTTTTCTGGCATGTCGAAGGGCCTGCAACTTGATTTCAAGAGGTATTACATTTATCACGTATTTTATACTCTTTGTAAAATCCAATAAAAAATACTTAAAGGTTATATAAACTAATTCCCAATTCTGTCATGTAGAATTCACGTCATGGAGCTCAAAATAGTACGGGTAGATTTAAATTATTATGCACTGGCGGAAAATGGGTGGAAATAGTGATTATTTGACTGGCAAAAAACACATTTCCGTCGGAATATGTAACACATTTGGATGCCAAGCTAAATCATTTTAAAAAGACCGAACTGCGAACCCTTAAGTATAAAGTCTCACAGTTAGCATCAATAATTGAACAAGATCTAGAGAGTTGAAGATTTGAATGTGGGTCCGTCTACTGTCGCGTGTTCAGCTTGATAGTCTCATTATATATTCATAGGCATCTGTAAACAACGAAGCGCCGTATCATAGAAATCAATTCAACTGATTTCAACATGCTCATCAGTTTGGGATTAGACCAGTCACTTACCCACTTGGGCCTGAGAACCCGTGCTTAATCCAGCTCACAGACACCACGTCGCGCCCGAGGCACAGCAATAACAACAATAACAACAACAACAATAACAACAACAACAACAGCCGACGGTCACAACCCTCAAATGGCACCCGCTAAGCGGATTTGAGGCAATCAAATTAAAGTCGCCCCAAGGAGTCAACAGTCAACAGCTTCAGAATCAAAATCAAAATCAAATTAGCAGCAGTTTGGTGGCTAATTTTGTTATCATTCGACTGCAGTTGCATGTGCGTTTGTGTGTGTGTGTGTGTGTGTGTGTGTGTCGGTGGGAGGGGTGTGCCCAGCACGTGTCTCTTGCCGATAAGACACGAAACTCAACAAACAGCAGCCACACGACCACACGTGACCCTGTGACCATAAGCTGGAGCTAAGTCCTGCAAATGCAGCTGCAGCTGCGACGCTGGCGAAAAATCAATGACACTTGCAAAATGGTGACCGGGCACGCCCCCAGTTTGCCCACAGTAGCCACGCCCATCTGCACGAAAGTGAGCAAGTGTTGAGTGCTTGAGCAGTGCGCGATTCACACCCACTCGACCGGCTGCATCGTCAAAAGTAAGTAAGTGTCTGCAATTATTTAATCAATTTCAATTTCGTATCCCAGATCCTTGTTGCTGCTCGAGATAAGGACACAATTGCGGGCTGCGGGCTGCGTTTATATCAAAAGGTTTATGACTTTCCAGGGGGTGCAGACATATTTTTTTACCCTGAACCCATTGAAGATAGCTTAAAATAGTCTTCTTCTACGTCTACTACTCATACGGAATATATACATTTTGGCACAGCATCAACAGCCGAGTCCACCCAACCATATCCGTGTGATATATATGTTTCCATCATGCTGCTAGATGTCAACATAAAACCTAAAACAGCAAGTCTTAAGCATTTATAGGTTCTGCGATGAACGTCTTCATACATACGGCCATACAGGCAGAGGGACATAAGTATGTGCCAAGATCGAGTCGACTGATGAATTTGACCTCGAATATATAGACTGCATGAGGTCAGAGATGCTTCCTGCTGCCTGTTATACACTCTTTGTATTAAAATGGGCTTTGGGCTATAAAATATCGAGATGAATCAAAGAAGATTCAAGTTTAAAGCTCGTCTGTCAATGGGGTTGCACGGCAGCAGCAAGCAATTGGCATGCGCTCTCTCACGTTTCAATCGTTCTACAATCCACGTGTGCCAATTCCCGTGTTGATACCAAAGAGTTTGAAGGTAAGAGTATGAACGCAGAAAAATGTGACGTCGCCCAACCAAAGGCTTTTATTTGAATGCGCGCATACATATGTGTATGTGTATGCGTATGTGTATGCACAAATATATGCTCAAGAGGATAGGTATACATGCTTGCATGCATAGGCTGAAAACATGTACACATGCATACATCATGTGCATGTTTGCATGTGCGAAGAAAGCTCCCACAACGGACAGCTTCCATAAGCGGACACTCTATTAAAGGTTAATGTCGAGTTGGCTTATCTGAGAAAAACCTCTTCCTTTTTAGCAGCACGCTTAAGCTCTCCAAATAAAAAAATAGTCCAGGTACTTATAGACTCATAGACACAAGCCCAAACAGCGCTGATCCTTCCCCCTGCGCCTCACTACTAATTATATTATATAATGAATATTTTTCGATGTTTTAAAATGCTTTATTTTAATTGTGCTATCCAAAACATATTCCTTATCGTTACGAAAGCCTGCGTACCAGGTCTGGTGTATCTAGATCTTAAACTTTCTTAGCTAGCTAAAAAACAACATATCCAGAAATCGGTGCCTATCTAAGTATATTCACGAAATAGGACGAGCTATCGACAAAAAATTACAAACTCGTTTTGCTTAAGAGAATATAAATATCAAACTTAAAGTCTCTAAATAAACTCAGCTCGTCATCTTGACTGAGATTGTGAAGATATTGTTCCTATTTTGGTTATGAAAGTTTTTTATTTAAATTGGGATTATTTTAAGAACAGATTTGGCTATGACAAAGTGAGGTTGAGCTTATTTTGTTCTTCATTCAACAGTCATTACAATTTCATTTAACATTAGCTCAAAAAGGCTGAAAATCAAAATTGATTCACTTGATTCAATTTTTTTCATTTCATATTTGAGGCAAGAATTTGCTTACTTCTATGACTGATTCCACTTGATTCAAGTACGAAGTTCCTAACTCAAAGTACATACTTATATATTATTTACATGCATATTAGCACGCGGCACATTGTTTCGCAGATCCCAAGTTTCAAGTTTTAGAAATTGATTTTTTACCCATTATAATGAAGAAGCTCAAAAAAATGTTTCAAATGAAAATTATTTCGCCATATTGAAACTCATTTTTCGATAAGACTTGGCACACTAACATAGGTGAGTATTGATGGGAATAAGAACGGACTATTACGAGGAGCGGATTAAATGGAGCATACATATGTTTTTTATAAAAATAAAAGACAATATATGCGAATCCTAGCCAGATTTCGCCATCATCAAAAAAAAGAAAGCAAAAAAGTGATGTTTTTATAACTTTGATTTTTTTTTTTCAAATATTTTGTTTGGTTTTTTTATATTTATATTAACATCGCAAATCAAGAAATTATTGAAATCACAAAATTAGACATAAAAATGTCGCAAAAAGAAACGCAAACTGATGCTTTCAAATATCATAAGGTCGCCAAATTAATGCGCTGCTGCAAAAACATTAAAAAAATACTCATGCCCAAAATGTTAAAGCATGAAATCAAAACGCCAAAAAACGCCACTTGGTTACAGAATCGCAATCGTAATTTTCGGTCGCAGTATTCAGTTTACATTTGCCGAATATTGGTGTTTTGCTATATTTTCAATCTGGTCTGACTTTGATGATTTTCATATATTATCGTTTTTTCGATTACAATAACAGCGGATTAACAGCTGTCGCAATGTCATTGCACAGTACACATAACAGCGCCTTAACAGATATTTAACAGAAGTGGCCATTTTGAGTTAACCATTCGATACTAAAGAGGTAATTTATCGTTTAGTGTTTAGCACAATTTCTAGCGAATCGCAGCAGGACGAACGTGTTTTTTTATTTGCAAATTAATTTCAAGATTTTAAGTTGACAGTGTAAAGTGTTCAAATTTTGTGTTCCATAGCAGGTAAGTTGATGTTTTTCATCAGCACACCCAAAATAATATTGTCGTAAATGCGGTGCTGGTTCATTTCGAAGCTAGCGTCAGTCGCACACACAATTACACAGCTATGTTTGTGTGCATACACATGCAGTGACCACGCGCGGATTCGCGAGGTGCCGCTGACAAAATCGAAATAGCAGTTGCAAATGAGCTAGCTAAAATATTCGCTTGACACTTAAAGACTGCCGCCTGCTGGGCACGGTGACCAAGTCGCGGGTTTCAACGTATACTATGTGAGGTTGTCATGCAGTTTTGTTTGCCGGCACCGGCACACGGCCATACACAGCCACAATCACACACACACACACACACATACACGCACGCACGCACACACACACACATCAACACGTAAAAGTGCGTGCCAAATTCAAAAATTTCGGAGTTAGCCCCTTGGCTTCAGCGATTATAATTCTAGTCATAGCTCTTGCAGCGTTTCGCATTTACAAACAAAGTTGTATGAATTGAAATTGACATAAATGTATTTGTTTGTAAATATGTAAGTGCACATATTACACATGCATTAGCTGTGCTCAATTTGCATTTGTGTGCGGCACCCTAGTGTATATACATGTATGTGTGTGTGAACGTGTGAACGAACGATTAAAACCAAACAAAAACAAACGATTCGTGACACAAATCGTTTACGGGAGAATAAAATGTAAGTTTATACGGTGCATGGTTTTGAAAGTTTGTGATGATATTACTAGTTCAGTTTTTTTCCGATCTACAGTAAATGTGCAGCATAAAATTCTACACTTGCCCGTACAGAGAAAGGCCATGAAAAGCTGGTTGCCATTTTAGATTTGTCATTCGCACACGTGCATAAATTGTTACGCACACAACTACATTCCCGATTCTGTGCTCGCCGCGTAAGTTTGTGTCGCAAGTCCAACGAGCCGTTAGCCTTCGTGAAATTTGACGAAGAGTTACAAGAAACGCATGCAGCAAAGACAAAACAAACGTCAGGCTTGACCTTGGTTGCATTAAAGAGCTGTTTGAAGCGTATATATGTACATGTTACATGCATGTGTGTGCGTGCGTATGCTCGCGTGCATGATATATGTATTTGCATATGTATGTATGTACATGTGTGCAAGATAGCACCAGTATATGTATCTAGCTGAGTACAATAGAAGATCTCAAAAGGCTTGCTAGCTTCTTTTTGGTTCTGCTTATGTTTTCAATATAATTTCAACCTTTGGGCTTTCCAGCATGCCTTCGGCATTACTCGGCTCGGTTTTCTGTAGACCACCCGACACCTGGGCGTATGTGTATTTGCGTGTTCGGATTAATTGTTAACCAAAAAAAAAAAAAAACAAGTAAGAGGTTCTAGTCGGGAGCCCCCGACTAGGGGATACCCTGAACCCTCTTCTTCCAACATCAAATGCATTCTATTTTAGAAGCAACATATCATGTTTCGTGACTTTAGCTTTTATTATTTACCAAAATTGTCCAAAAAACAGTATATCGATACCGACTTTTATCGATTTCTTGGAAACGGAGTAAGTTATCGATTATCGGAAACAAACGTCATATCTCCCCGCGGAGCTATTCCCATCATACCACGCGGAGTTATGTCGTTTTGGAACGTCATATCTCCCCGCGGAGCTATTTCCATCCGAGCGGAGGGAGTTATGTCGTTTTGGAACGTCGTATCTCCCCGCGGAGCTATTACCCATCATACCGCGCAGAGTTATGTCGTTTTGGAACGTCATATCTCCCCGCGGAGCTATTTCCATCCGAGCGGAGGGAGTTATGTCGTTTTGGAACGTCATATCTCCCCGCGGAGCTACTACCCATCATACCGCCTGGAGTTATGTCGTTTTGGAACGTCATATCTCCCCGCGGAGCTACTACCCATCATACCGCCTGGAGTTATGTCGTTTTGGAACGTCATATCTCCCCGCGGAGCTACTACCCATCATACCGCCTGGAGTTATGTCGTTTTGGAACGTCATATCTCCCCGCGAAGCTACTACCCATCATACCGCCTGGAGTTATGTCGTTTTGGAACGTCATATCTCCCCGCGGAGCTACTACCCATCATACCGCCTGGAGTTATGTCGTTTTGGAACGTCATATCTCCCCGCGGAGCTGTTATCCATCATACCGCGCAGACAGACAGACTAACATGGCTAGATCGACTCGGCTATTGATGCTGATCAAGAATATATATACTTTATGGGGTCGGAGATGCTTCCTTCTGCCTGTAACATACATTTGGATTTCGCACGAATACAATATACCCTTATACCCATTTTGAATGCGTTCAGGGTATAACATCGAAAAAGTTTCGATTTTCGCACCAACCTCTATTTTCAAAAAAACGTGATGTAACCCGTGATGTAACCCCTTACCATTTTGTTATGTTATGTCGTTTTGGAACGTCATATCTCCGCGCGGAGTTATGTCGTTTTGGTACGTCATATCTCCGCGCGGAGTTATGTCGTTTTGGTACGTCATATCTCCGCGCGGAGTTATGTCGTTTTGGTACGTCATATCTCCGCGCGGAGTTATGTCGTTTTGGAACGTCATATCTCCGCGCGGAGTTATGTCGTTTTGGAACGTCATATCTCCGCGCGGAGTTATGTCGTTTTGGAACGTCATATCTCCGCGCGGAGTTATGTCGTTTTGAAACGTCATATCTCCGCCCGAAGTTATGTCGTTTTGGAACGTCATATCTCGGCACGGAGTTATGTCGTTGTGGAACGTCATATCTCCGCGGGGAGCTATTACCCGAGATATTAAAAAAAATCATTGAAACAGTTTCGATTTTCGCACCGACCTCGATTTTGAAAAAAAAGTGGTATAACCCCTTGCCATTTTGTCGATTTGGGTCAAAATTTTGAATTAAGCATTTATGATAAAAAAAAGGAACTTAAATAGCATTACAGAAAAAAGTCGCAATCACTATGCTGTTAAAATGCGAAGCAGACAGAAATTGTATACAGAAATTCTTAAAGACATACATATGTTCTTGTATAGAGCGAAGCACAAAATAAATAAATGCATAAATAAATGCTTAGATTTTATTAAGTTTAGTCAACGGTCTTTGTTAAACATGAAACCCAAGAATAGCCCGCAAATGAATTAATTAGAAACACTTTAGGTTTTAAGTTATTTAACTTTGGAGAGTATCGCTTGCTGGTTTGCTTTGGGCATGGCTCGCTTTGTTGTTCGTTGCGCAACCCGTATGTGCAGCTCTGCTTGGGTCACGACGGGATCTGTTAACTGCATTTACTTCAATGAGAAGATTCTATTTTTATTTTAAGCTTACGTTTTGACAGGCGCACTATGAGTTCGCCAGACGACGCCTTTGACGGAGCCAACAGCCCCCGTTTAAAGAAGCAGCTGAGGGAATCGTCGAGCCTTAGCAGCTCTAGCGATGATTCTGTGCCTGATAACAACGATGGCTCCAACCATTCGGCCGAGGCAGAAGGCAATGAGCTGAAGACAAATACAATCAACAGGCAGAAATCTGTCGAAAATGACTCTGATATGTCACAGCATAAGGAGCAAGAACAGTTCAATGCCGAGCAGAGTGGTAAATTTTATTTATGATAATTTGCTTGCGACTCATAACCATTCTTAATCCTTGCATCATGTACTAGTTGGAACAGCAGGCAGTCGCAAGACCAAAAGGCGCAAGGCTAAAAGAGCCAAGCTACGCCGTGACTCAAAGGAAGTAGCTTTGATGGGTTGGAGCGGACCCTTTCCTAATCTCTCACCCACCCACAGTCTGGAGAGTAGCTCGGACGTGGATCAGCAGGTAAGTAGGCATTGTCAACGGCCCAAGCACGACACGGGCATGAGCAGCGATGTGACTACAGCTGTTCCAGCTCCGGTGTCAAGACTATCATTGACTTGTTTACATCGACGTGTACTTGTCTTGTTCTCTATCTCTCTATGTATTTTTGTTTGTATGTATGTATGTATATTGTATATTGTATGCAGCAGCTGCCCACTGACCTAAAGGCAATCTGTGCCACTGGGCTGAGCATCTTTCCCAGAGAGGACAAGGAGCAGCGGCCGCCGCTGTCAACATCGTCGTCTTCTGATTCTACTTCCTTCTCGCCAGTTTCCCAACTTAAAACGCCTGCAACAACGACAACAACATGTTTTACACTTACAACAAATTCGACTACTTCAAGTCCAAAGTCTACGCAGACAACCAACAACAACGTCAACAACAACGACACCAATTCAGCCTCAATGTCAATTGCAACAAGTTGTCCTCGTTCAGAACCATCATCAGAGCCAGAATCAGAATCAGAACCACAAGCTGATGTAGCAAAGCAGGTGGAATTTTAGGCTTAGTCTTCGAGACTGGCATTGCTGGGCAACTAACCTATTAATTTGCTTTCTCCCGCTCTATTCCTCTCTACGCAGACAGTCAAGCATTCAAATGAACGACCCTCCAGTGCCGCCGCTGGTATTGATACCGTCGCAAATTTAGACGCTGTTGAGGACTCAAATGCCTCTTTTGGCTCATTGAAAAGCAGAAGCTCGCGAAAGCGTGGCACTTCCAATAGAAGCTCAGCCGACGGACAACAGAATGAATCAAAACGAACCAAGCCAACAGAACAGGATAATAATGGCTGCAGCTTGCGCACTCGATCCAAGTCGTTGCATGATCCGAATCCGGATGTGCCGCCGCGCACCCCACGTGCTCGTAGCATCTGCCCCGCCGCCATGCTCAGTCAAAATGAGCCTGCAGAGCAGACTCCACCCAGCAGTGAAACAAAGACTCCCGCTCGCCGTCGCTCAGTCGCTGCATTTAAGCTGCATCCGACTGATGAATTCTATCGCTTGCCCTTTAAGTACGGCTGGAAACGTGAACTGGTTCTGCGTAGCAGTGCATCCTTATCGCGTCAGCGGGGTGACGTTATATTCATATCGCCAGGAGGCAAGAAGCTGCGCTCCCGCGAGGACATCGTTCCGCTACTGAATGGCGAGTTGACCATCGATCATTTCTGCTTTCAGCGCCAAATGCAGCAGGTCGGCGAGGAGTTCGAGACGGTGCGTCAGGCACAGCCTGCTCCGTTGCGTCGGAAATCCTTAGCTGTCGCCAAGCAGCAGCAACAGTTGACCAACGTGAACAACCAACAACTCCCGCCAGTGCCTGCACCCGTGTCTGGCAAGCGTGTGCCCAAGCCTAAGGTTCCCAAGGGCGCTAGCCCTCCGCCTGAGGGTTGGACTTCCACCATGGCCGTTAAGGGAAATGCTCGCGTGTTGGCAGCTAGCAATGGTAACACCAGCGGCGGACCTGGCTCTGGGTCTGGCAACAGCGCTCGTAAAAGAAGGTAAGCTGCTGCTTTAAATGCTTCAAATATATTTTCTTGTCTTATTTTCTCACCGATTCCCCTGCTTCAGCAGCAACCAGACAAAGCAACCAGCTAAGCCAGCACCAGATCCAACTGTGCAGGCAAATATTCAACCGCAGTCAGGTAAAGGCAAGACGATGATCTGTGTGTATTGCCTAAAGCTAATCAATGAGAAACAGCAGGCCTATCCCGTCGGAACCGCCAGTGTCAACAGCTACATCTGTATGGTGAGTACTCGCACGCCAATTCAGTCCTGTCAGCAAAACTGATCTGCTGCATCTTCATTCTTGCCTATCCAGCAATGTGTTAAACCCAGTAGCAAAGCTGCCAATTTGCAGCAGACAGCTAAAGGACTACCAGCGGAACAGGGACCTACCAACGGCACCAAGAAGCAAGACTCGATTGATGAGAACCTGTGCACTGATGCCAAAGCTTCTGCCAGTGTGGATGCTGACAAAAATATGAATGCAGACGTCGACGCCAATGGCAATGGCAATGGCGGCCTGCTGGAAATTGGTGGAGAGATTGAACTGCCGGGCGCGCTGCCGCCGGACCAGTTGCTGAGCGATGAGGTTCCTGCAAGTCGTGCCGGTAACAAGATCACGCCCAAGCCACTGGAAGTCGTTGTCATTAACGGTCGCAAGGCTCTGGCCATTGCTGGCGAGCCGCCGTGTCCGCGTTTACAAGTGTGAGTCCGCAACGAAGGCAAACAACTTGGGCGCGTACTCATCCGACGCTCAGTCCTCCTCACTTCTGCTCTGTTCAGTTCTTTTGAAGTATAGATAAAAATCACTCAATAGCAATGAATCCTACAATCATTTTGGTTCACATGAAAAAACAGTTGTCTATATAGAAACGGAGAACTCGGCAGAATATTTAAGTGTTTATTGAAAAATAATTTAAAAAAAAAAAAAAAATTCTTTATCTCCCACAGTGTTAGAGATAGGTCTGGTTGATTACTGATGACTTTTAAAGAACGAGCATTAACATTTACATTTACATACATTTTTCGTCAATTCAGGGTCAAATATCAGTTAAAATTATCCGTGTAAGGGGAAGAGGCTTTTTAACGTTTCTGAAAATAGATAGAAATTAGGTGTTTAGTTAACCGAATTAAGGGTCTAAACGTTTGGGTTGAATTCTGCATGTCTACAATTATGAAATTAAATATTATATCCGTCGTCTTCTTTTTAGCTTGCCACGCGAACCGGACCTGGAAATTTATGAAAAATATTTTCTTAAGCGCAACTGCACGGCTAAGGAAAAGCGTCAAAATTTCGTTGAATGCATTTCTGCTGGCAACTTAAGCTGCCAGGTGATGTCGGCTGTTATGAAGACACTGGATTTGCACGTAAGTTTACATAATGCAGCATCATTTACGATCTAACGTAAACTGATTCTCTATGCCCTCGCAGGATCGTGTGCGTATGTCAAACGTATGCAAGACATGGTCGATGATTGCCCGCGACCGTAGCGTGTGGCGCACATTAAAGCTGCGTGACACGCTTATAACAAACTGGTTGTTCCTTTTGCGAGATATGGTGCGTTATCGCACCCGCGAACTGGATATGATGGGGGTCAAAATGACTAATCCCAAAATGCGCCTGGAGGGAGATTTGCGTGTGCTTAAAGCATTGCGCGTTCTGCGCACTGACGCTTGCGAGGCGGAATTTATCCAGTCAGTTATTAAATGTATACCACGTCTGCTGGAGCTGCGCACCACATGCACCAGTCGTGCACTCAGCCTGGCTAGTATGAAGAAGATGTTGGAATTGCGCGTGCTGCGCATTCGCATGATAGAGCCCAAGGCTGGCATCTTTTCGTTGCAGCCGCTGCAAAATTTAGAACAATTGAGGGAGCTAAGTCTACGCGGCATTAACAACATGGCGCAGCTGGAGCTGTTGCAGCTCCAGGGATTGAAACTGCTCGAGACGCTTGTGTTAGGCTCCTGTCGTGGTATGAAGGTTACGACGTTTGGGCAGCAAGTGCTGCCGAGACTGAAGCGTCTTCGCCACCTGCGCCTAGAAAACCACCACAGCAATCGCTCATTTAATATCAACGAGATCATGGAAGGCATCGCCGCCGGCGGCAGTGTAAAACGTGTCGAGCTCATCAATGTCAACGTGGATGCAGAACTTAGCCGTCAGTTGGCAGCTTGTAAATCGGTCCAGGAGCTGCTGCTCATGCCAAACTTCCATAATAATACGGCTTATATGATGTGTTACATCATGCAGGCCATCAATGAAAACAGCGAACAGCTCAATGTATTTCGTCTGGGTCTTACCTACGAACTTCTGAGTGTCACTCGTGCGTTAGCCATGAACCAGGAGAAAGACTGTATTCCGGTTGCACTGCCAATACCAGGCGTGCCTGAAAATGATATACTAAATGAGTCCGATGAGCCAATCGCGTATTTGCCGGTCGATCGCTTGGAATCGATTCTACACCACATGATGCCTCAGGCCTGGCTGACAGTCGCCAAGGTTTCCCAGAGCGAGACAACTAATCTTAAATTCCTTCCGGCTTCACCAAATGACACGTCTGGAATTTCTCATGATTAAATTTGTTTCCATCGCTACCTTATATATTTAATCAATATAGATATATATCTATTTATATATATGTATTGTATATTTATATATATATATATATATATATATAAATATATATATATATTCTATACATAGTATATAATCGTCAGGGTGTAAGAATGAGGGCGAGTACCGTCACGTTTATACCGTAATGCCGCCCGGCTGTTCTTCGAGAGAAAAAAGACTGAGTCTTAATTTCAACATCACAAGCTACACAATACCTTGTAGCTGAAGCCCAGAGTATTTTAAGTTATAGGAGCGTGTACATCACACGATGTACACGATCCATTGTTTTCGTAAAAGAAGCGTTATTTTAACACGTTAAATATATGAAAATACAAAGGAAGACAACACGTTTGTTTTTGTAAAAAATCAAAACGTTTTATTTTAATATAGCATTTAGCATTTAAAAACATACGAATATATCTAAATCTAATACATATTTTTATTACTGGAATTGCGTAATTTACGTGTACATATTTTGTTTTTGTACAAATGAAGAATTGTTAAGATTACGCATTGTAAAACTTTTGTGAAATGCACAACTATTTTAAAATACTTGACAAACATTATCTTTTTAGATTATTTAACCGGGCGTATGGGTATTTTGTATATTGTGCGTAAGTATATTAGTTGTGTACATGGAGAGGTCCTGGCAAAGTAGGCTTTCGCAGTGTGCAGTGTAAATGTTACAAAAATAAATATGTGTATAGAGTAATACAATAATGTGTTATAAATATAAAAAATATATACATATACATATGTTTTTAAGTAACTAGTCATCGTGTCAAATAAGTGACAGCATGAACAACATGTGTGTTATCCTGGCCAATGGGAACGGGCAGGCAGATTTCTGAACCGTTCGACTTTTGGGACTAACAAGTATTAATTGATTGAACGGTGTGAGAAAAATCCAATTTGTGATCAATGTATGTTAGCTTTTTTGGGAGCAAGAGAGCCGTGCCCTTTTAAGCCCTTAGACACAGAGTGTGCCATATATATAGAAATATTTGTATCGAAAAATAAATGATACCTTAGAATTCTAGCATATATAAGTATACTTAGTCGCATAAATGTAGGGTAATGTTTTGGCTAAACAAGTCGAGAGCAAATGCAAGGATAATATGATTGAATTAGTTTGGGTAATGAGTAATAAGAAAATGGATAAATAATTTATCGGCCGCTCCTTCCGACAAACCAAATAAAATGTATATTGCTAAGTGCTGAGCCAACGGGGTCATTCTGATCAGCATGACAAGCTGCCCAGGGAAATGGGCTAAATTAGTTCCGATCGAAAGTATGCTCTTTCTGTTAGCGAAGTGTTATCAAAGGTAATTTGTTGCGGTATATAAATCATAAATTAGGGAGAGTAGGGAGGGGCACAGCAAATGATGCTCAATGTGTGCCACACGCTAAAGATGGTAGAAAAATAGCATAGAATAAAGCCTTAAAATGACACGTGCTCTAGCCAATAGATGGCCAACATCAAGTGCACTTTGGACATGTACATGGACAACCTGAGGCTAAGGCTATGCGCGACTTAAAGCTAATTTGTCATTGGTCGGGATCGCAATGGCGATCAGTTGTATTCGGGTTTGGGAAAGTAGTCGGGCACAAAGATGTGCACAATGATGCCGGTGGTCATGAGCGCAAAGTAGACGAGCACAGCCATCCACCAGAGTATGCGCTCCCAGCGACGCACCTCCAGATTGCGCAGCACGCCAATTCCAACAAGTAGGCCAGCAACGGCCCCAGACAAATGCGCTACGTATCCAATTTGGTCATGTTGATCAGTCAGATGACGGTACACGGATGTGCCCAGATCGGTGAAGCAGAACACAAGGAAGGCAAGCAGCTGCACAATCGCGTACTCCATTTCCGAGTAGTTCTGCAAACAAAGATGGGATTCGAAATGTGAGTTGATACTAAACGTGTTATGCCGAGCTATTATAAGGACTTGCCATGATGATCGTCGCAATGTGTGCTGTAATAAGGGCATATACACCGCCGGAGGCGCCTGCCAAAAAAATTCGTGGACTGGTCAGTGAGGTGCCCATTGATCCGGCCAGTACGCCGGCCAAGTAGACGAGCGCCACACGCCACCAGTGATGCACCAGCTCCAGGGCAATGCCAAGGAAAATCTGTATGATCAGATTCATCATGAGGTGCATAATGCCCACGTGCACAAACATATAGCTGAGAAAACGCCACGACTCGTAGCGCTTGTACGGATTGTAAATGAAGAGCGTCGCCGCTGGTCCGTTGGTGCTCTCGCCCAGGCGCTGGTTGTGGTTCGGATCGTCCCTGTTAGCATAAAGATTTGGCACAAATCAATAAATCAATCAAGCAAATTGGTGTCAACAGGGAACTCACTGAAAGTAGATGACGTCCACCAGAAACATAATGATCTCGATGATCGAGAAGATGACCATGGTCAGCGGCGGCGGGCAGATGGACATTTGTTTCTCGTACGCACCGTCCGGCTCATCGCCCTCCAATGGCTTTGGCGGTGGGACCACATACCGGCAATATCTGGTCAGCATATTGCGTATCATCCACTTGTGGTGCAGCGACATGGTATAGAACTCGTCAAAGTCCAGATGCCCATTGTTGTCCATGTCGCTCCTGTGCAGTATTTGCTCGGCTATGTACGCCGGTATGTCCCGGCAGTAGCCATCCGATATGAGACCCTTCAGCTCGTGTGTGTTGATAAGCCCATCTCTGTCCGAGTCGTGCTGCACGAAAAGGCAATAACAAACTTGTCCATTAATCAAAAGTAATTCAAATGAGTTGCACCTAAGCCTGATCTCTTGTATTTGACCTGATTTTCTCTACAAGTTGAGTTGGTTTTGTCGCAACAGCAAGTACATGTATATATTCTTCATCATTATCAAAGGACTTGTCGATATGGAAATGTGCGTCTCAGTCTAAGTCAGGTCCGGCTTTCTGCTGAAGTCAATTCATCTGCATGTCAGAGCCCACCGGATCGAGCCTTGGGCAGTCGAAAAGAGTATGAAAAGAGTTTTGGAACGTCATATCTCCGCGGGGAGTTATGTCGTTTAGGAACGTCATATTTCCGCGCGGAGTTATGTCGTTTTGGAACGTCATATCTCCGCGCGGAGCTATTACCCGAGATATTATGTCGTTTTGGAACGTCATATCTTCGCGCGGAGTTATGTCGTTTTGGAACGTCATATCTCCGCGGGGAGTTATGTCGTTTTGGAACGTCATATCTCCGCAGGGAGTTATGTCGTTTTGGAACGTCATATCTCCGCGGGGAGTTATGTCGTTTTGGAACGTCATATCTCCGCGCGGAGCTATTACCCGAGATATTATGTCGTTTTGGAACGTCATATCTCCGCGGGGAGTTATGTCGTTTTGGAACGTCATATCTCCGCGGGGAGTTATGTCGTTTTGGAACGTCATATCTCCGCGCGGAGCTATTACCCGAGATATTATGTCGTTTTGGAACGTCATATCTCCGCGGGGAGTTATGTCGTTATGGAACGTCATATCTCCGCGCGGAGTTATGTCGTTTTGGAACGTCATATCTCCGCGCGGAGCTATTACCCGAGATATTATGTCGTTTTGGAACGTCATATCTCCGCGCGGAGTTATGTCGTTTTGGAACGTCATATCTCCGCGGGGAGTTATGTCGTTTTGGAACGTCATATCTCCGCGCGGAGTTATGTCGTTTTGGAACGTCATATCTCCGCGCGGAGTTATGTCGTTTTGGAACGTCATATCTCCGCGCGGAGCTATTACCCGAGATATTATGTCGTTTTGGAACGTCATATCTCCGCGCGGAGTTATGTCGTTTTGGAACGTCATATCTCCGCGCGGAGTTATGTCGTTTTGGAACGTCATATCTCCGCGCGGAGTTATGTCGTTTTGGAACGTCATATCTCCGCGCGGAGCTATTACCCGCGATATTATGTCGTTTTGAAACGTCATATCTCCGCGGGGAGTTATGTCGTTTTGGAACGTCATATCTCCGCGCGGAGCTATTAACCGAGATATTATGTCGTTTTGGAACTCCATATCTCCGCGCGGAGTTATGTCGTTTTGGAACGTCATATCTCCGCGGGGAGTTATGTCGTTTTGGAACGTCATATCTCCGCGCGGAGTTATGTCGTTTTGGAACGTCATATCTCCGCGCGGAGCTATTACCCGAGATATTATGTCGTTTTGGAACGTCATATCTCCGCGCGGAGTTATGTCGTTTTGGAACGTCATATCTCCGCGCGGAGCTATTACCCGAGATATTATGTCGTTTTGGAACGTCATATCTCCGCGGGGAGTTATGTCGTTTTGGAACGTCATTCTCCGCGGGGTGTTATGTCGTTTTGGAACGTCATATCTCCGCGCGGAGCTATTACCCGAGATATTATGTCGTTATGGAACGTCATATCTCCGCGCGGAGCTATTACCCGAGATATTATGTCGTCATATCTCCGCGCGGAGTTATGTCGTTTTGGAACGTCATATTTCCGCGCGGAGCTATTACCCGAGATATTATGTCGTTTTGGAACGTCATATCTCCGCGGGGAGTAATGTCGTTTTGGAACGTCATATCTCCGCGCGGAGCTATTACCCGAGATATTATGTCGTTTTGGAACGTCATATCTCCGCGCGGAGCTATTACCCGAGATATTATGTCGTCATATCTCCGCGCAGAGTTATGTCGTTTTGGAACGTCATATCTCCGCGCGGAGCTATTACCCGAGATATTATGTCGTTTTGGAACGTCATATCTCCCCGCGAAGTTATGTAGTTTTGGAACGTCATATCTCCGCGGGGAGTTATGTCGTTTTGGAACGTCATATCTCCGCGGGGAGTTATGTCGTTTTGGAACGTCATATCTCCGCGCGGAGCTATTACCCGAGATATTATGTCGTTTTGGAACGTCATATCTCCGCGGGGAGTTATGTCGTTTTGGAACGTCATATCTCCGCGCGGAGCTATTACCCGAGATATTATGTCGTTTTGGAACGTCATATCTCCGCGGGGAGTTATGTCGTTTTGGAACGTCATATCTCCGCGGGGAGTTATGGCGTTTTGGAACGTCATATCTCCGCGGGGAGTTATGTCGTTTTGGAACGTCATATCTCCGCGCGGAGCTATTACCCGAGATATTATGTCGTTTTGGAACGTCATATCTCCGCGGGGAGTTATGTCGTTTTGGAACGTCATATCTCCGCGGGGAGTTATGTCGTTTTGGAACGTCATATCTCCGCAGGGAGTTATGTCGTTTTGGAACGTCATATCTCCGCGCGGAGCTATTACCCGAGATATTATGTCGTTTTGGAACTCCATATCTCCGCGGGGAGTATGTCGTTTTGGAACGTCATATCTCCGCGCGGAGCTATTACCCGAGATATTATGTCGTTTTGGAACGTCATATCTCCGCGGGGAGTTATGTCGTTTTGGAACGTCATATTTCCGCGGGGAGTTATGTCATTTGGAACGTCATATCTCCGCGCGGAGTTGTGTCGTTTTGGAACGTCATATCTCCGCGGGGAGTATGTCGTTTTGGAACGTCATATCTCCGCGCGGAGCTATTACCCGAGATATTATGTCGTTTTGGAACGTCATATCTCCGCGCGGAGCTATTACCCGAGATATTATGTCGTTTTGGAACTCCATATCTCCGCGGGGAGTATGTCGTTTTGGAACGTCATATCTCCGCGCGGAGCTATTACCCGAGATATTATGTCGTTTTGGAACGTCATATCTCCGCGGGGAGTTATGTCGTTTTGGAACGTCATATCTCCGCGGGGAGTTATGTCGTTTTGGAACGTCATATCTCCGCGGGGAGTTATGTCGTTTTGGAACGTCATATCTCCGCGGGGAGTTATGTCGTTTTGGAACGTCATATCTCCGCGGGGTGTTATGTCGTTTTGGAACGTCATATCTCCGCGCGGAGCTATTACCCGAGATATTATGTCGTTTTGGAACGTCATATCTCCGCGGGGAGTTATGTCGTTTTGGAACGTCATATCTCCGCGGGGAGTTATGTCGTTTTGGAACGTCATATCTCCGCGCGGAGCTATTACCCGAGATATTATGTCGTTTTGGAACGTCATATCTCCGCGGGGAGTTATGTCGTTTTGGAACGTCATATCTCCGCGCGGAGCTATTACCCGAGATATTATGTCGTCATATCTCCGCGCGGAGTTATGTCGTTTTGGAACGTCATATCTCCGCGCGGAGCTATTACCCGAGATATTATGTCGTTTTGGAACGTCATATCTCCCCGCGAAGTTATGTCGTTTTGGAACGTCATATCTCCGCGCGGAGCTATTACCCGAGATATTATGTCGTCATATCTCCGCGCGGAGTTATGTCGTTTTGGAACGTCATATCTCCGCGCGGAGATATTAACCGAGATATTATGTCGTTTTGAAACGTCATATCTCCGCGGGGAGTTATGTCGTTTTGGAACGTCATATCTCCGCGCGGAGCTATTACCCGAGATATTATGTCGTTTTGGAACGTCATATCTTTCAAAACGTCATATCTCCGCGCGGAGCTATTACCCGAGATATTATGTCGTCATACCTCCGCGCGGAGTTATGTCGTTTTGGAACGTTATATCTCCGCGCGGAGCTATTACCCGAGATATTATGTCGTTTTGGAACGTTATATCTCCGCGGGGAGTTATTTCGTTTTGGAACGTCATATCTCCGCGCGGAGCTATTACCCGAGATATTATGTCGTCATATCTCCGCGCGGAGTTATGTCGTTTTGGAACGTCATATCTCCGCGCGGAGCTATTACCCGAGATATTATGTCGTTTTGGAACGTCATATCTCCCCGCGAAGTTATGTCGTTTTGGAACGTCATATCTCCGCGCGGAGCTATTACCCGAGATATTATGTCGTCATATCTCCGCGCGGAGTTATGTCGTTTTGGAACGTCATATCTCCGCGCGGAGATATTAACCGAGATATTATGTCGTTTTGAAACGTCATATCTCCGCGGGGAGTTATGTCGTTTTGGAACGTCATATCTCCGCGCGGAGCTATTACCCGAGATATTATGTCGTTTTGGAACGTCATATCTTTCAAAACGTCATATCTCCGCGCGGAGCTATTACCCGAGATATTATGTCGTCATACCTCCGCGCGGAGTTATGTCGTTTTGGAACGTTATATCTCCGCGCGGAGCTATTACCCGAGATATTATGTCGTTTTGGAACGTTATATCTCCGCGGGGAGTTATTTCGTTTTGGAACGTCATATCTCCGCGCGGAGCTATTACCCGAGATATTATGTCGTCATATCTCCGCGCGGAGTTATGTCGTTTTGGAACGTCATATCTCCGCGCGGAGCTATTACCCGAGATATTATGTCGTTTTGGAACGTCATATCTCCCCGCGAAGTTATGTCGTTTTGGAACGTCATATCTCCGCGCGGAGCTATTACCCGAGATATTATGTCGTCATATCTCCGCGCGGAGTTATGTCGTTTTGGAACGTCATATCTCCGCGCGGAGCTATTAACCGAGATATTATGTCGTTTTGAAACGTCATATCTCCGCGGGGAGTTATGTCGTTTTGGAACGTCATATCTCCGCGGGGAGTTATGTCGTTTTGGAACGTCATATCTCCGCGGGGAGTTATGTCGTTTTGGAACGTCATATCTCCGCGGGGTGTTATGTCGTTTTGGAACGTCATATCTCCGCGCGGAGTTATGTCGTTTTGGAACGTCATATCTCCGCGCGGAGCTATTACCCGAGATATTATGTCGTTATATCTCCGCGCGAAGTTATGTCGTTTTGGAACGTCATATCTCCGCGCGGAGCTATTACCCGAGATATTATGTCGTTTTGGAACGTTATATCTCCGCGCGGAGCTATTACCCGAGATATTATGTCGTTTTGGAACGTTATATCTCCGCGGGGAGTTATTTCGTTTTGGAACGTCATATCTCCGCGCGGAGCTATTACCCGAGATATTATGTCGTCATATCTCCGCGCGGAGTTATGTCGTTTTGGAACGTCATATCTCCGCGCGGAGCTATTACCCGAGATATTATGTCGTTTTGGAACGTCATATCTCCCCGCGAAGTTATGTCGTTTTGGAACGTCATATCTCCGCGCGGAGCTATTACCCGAGATATTATGTCGTCATATCTCCGCGCGGAGTTATGTCGTTTTGGAACGTCATATCTCCGCGCGGAGCTATTAACCGAGATATTATGTCGTTTTGAAACGTCATATCTCCGCGGGGAGTTATGTCGTTTTGGAACGTCATATCTCCGCGGGGAGTTATGTCGTTTTGGAACGTCATATCTCCGCGGGGAGTTATGTCGTTTTGGAACGTCATATCTCCGCGGGGTGTTATGTCGTTTTGGAACGTCATATCTCCGCGCGGAGTTATGTCGTTTTGGAACGTCATATCTCCGCGCGGAGCTATTACCCGAGATATTATGTCGTTATATCTCCGCGCGAAGTTATGTCGTTTTGGAACGTCATATCTCCGCGCGGAGCTATTACCCGAGATATTATGTCGTTTTGGAACGTTATATCTCCGCGGGGAGTTATTTCGTTTTGGAACGTCATATCTCCGCGGGGAGTTATGTCGTTTTGGAACGTCATATCTCCGCGCGGAGCTATTACCCGAGATATTATGTCGTTTTGGAACGTCATATCTCCGCGGGGAGTTATGTCGTTTTGGAACGTCATATCTCCGCGGGGAGTTATGTCGTTTTGGAACGTCATATCTCCGCGGGGAGTTATGTCGTTTTGGAACGTCATATCTCCGCGGGGAGTTATGTCGTTTTGGAACGTCATATCTCCGCGGGGAGTTATGTCGTTTTGGAACGTCATATCTCCGCGGGGAGTTATGTCGTTTTGGAACGTCATATCGGATATCGATATCGATTGCTTGGAAACGGAGTAAGCTATCGATTATCGGAAATAAACTCGATCTGCGCAGGAACTAGGAGCACCGACATCAACATTTCAAGTCTCTAGCTCTTATAGGTTCTGAGATCCTTGGTTCTGAGATACGGACGGACGGACGGACAGACGGACAAGGCTAGATCGACTCGGCTATTGATGCTGATCAAGAATATATATACTTTATGGGGTCGGAGATGCTTCCTTCTGCCTGTTACATACATTTGGATTTCGCACAAATACAATATACCCCTATACCCATTTTTAATGGGTTCAGGGTATACAAATATTCATACACTTTTTACCTCGGGGTGTCGGGGTATTCCATAATACTCTATCCCATAGTACTGGTTCCGTTCGAATCAAACCGGAAGATAACTCAAGGTTCATTTAGTTTTCATTCAGATCATTTAAAAGTTGTGTGTTTTTTTCCCCATTTTCCCCTTTTCTCGCCTGTGGAAAACTAACAGGTTCTTATTTTGTTTTACCTAGATATATATTTGAGAATTAGTATGAAGTCGATTGGAGTTCATAACCAAAATTAGAAATTCTTTAGTCTTGTGATCCCAAATGAAAGGCTTTTTGCAAAATGAGTGCATAGAGTACATATCGGATAAATGTTCACAATTATCCTTGAAAATGAGTTAAAGTCTTGAAAAGAACTTTGTACTCGGCTTCTTCGGCCAGGATTTGTCAGTTATTCGAAGAATGTGAAACAGATCTCAAATAAATGTTTAATAGGGATCCTTGGAAGTGACCCCAAACTAAACACAACAAATTTCTGATTCCCACGTAGGAAGTTTCCGCGGTTTTTCCACACGGATGGAATTTCGATTCGTTATAAGTGTATTTCACCAAATTTGTAAAACGTTTGATGCGTTGGCCCCGACTCGAGTAGGCGACGTTGGGGTGCTTTGAAGGGGCTCTCGGATGTGTCAGTTTCATCCAGTAATAGTCATTTAAGTTGTACGGCAAACATCTCGGAACAAATAGCAAGACATCACTAGAGCTGAGGCGTGAGCTTTGTGCTTCGTAGGGCCAGCAACAGCATACAAATAATTACAGGTGAGTGCGTGGCCAAACCCAATTAGTCTCTTCCCATCTAATAGCTGCCGTAGTTCTCATAGTTCCGGTTGTACTCTGTGAAGTTGCCATTGCAGAATGACGCACTTGTGGCGGACGAGCAAGAATATGGTGGGCTGGTTGCTGGGCCAGCAGCCGGAGCAGTGCAACTGTGATTGGCCGGATGAGGATGAGGTCGAGGTGCAAGAGTCTTCGGGCGTTGGCACTGTCATAGTCATATATACGGCCCTGGCGGGTCTGTTTATTGGGGCGAACCTCTTGCCCAGCCAGGTTACCCAGAGCCCACCGGCGTTGCGGGACCGAGACATACGCAAGGAGCAACAGCGGCGCCGCAGCAAGCAGCCGCCCAACGATGTCAACAGGCGATCGAGAAGGAAGCAGCCGCTGGACAATTTTTATGATGCGCTGCAGCCGAACGCAGAGGAGGAGGCCCAGTGGCTGAAAAAGAGCGACCGGGCCAAAAAGAGCGCCAAGGATGTCTTCTTCGATGTGCCCAATGAAAACAATGAAGAGGAACATTTCATTGACGTCCATGAAGATAAAGAATAACTCGTAGCCAACACATGCGAACAGGAGCTAACTTTTCCGAAATCGTTTCCCATTTGCAATATCCCAAATTTTAAATAAATGTTAGATCAGCCTGTCTAAAGCTTGGACTAGAACATCTGGTTGCCATAAAGTCCGCAATGCCACATCAAATTGTTGCAACAAACCACCCCCAAATGTGGCCAAAACTAGTCGCAACAAATGCCCACAAATGGCCAGCCCCAAATCGGATCGAATGCATTCCAGTATTTGGTAAATCCGTCAAAAAGCTGCATTCGAATCGAGGCTAAAGCAATTGACAGGCCTCTTGCCCAAAAAGTTTCTACTCTGACAACAATTGGCGAAACAAGAAATAAATTAAGCAAGATGTGTGTTAAAAGTCTGGGGCACGCCCACTGGAGGGCGGCCAAATCTAGAAAATGTATATTTTGCCAAGTTTTAAGGCTTGCGTATAAAAATGTTGCAGCTAGATCAATTAGTTGCCGCAGATCTATTTCGTCTCTTATAGCTCTTTTTTGTTCTTATCGCTTAGTGTTTATGTAGAAAATTACTAAATGCACACACACACACACACAGGCAACAGGTGGATGTATCTAGCCACCTGCAACAAAGCAGGCACAAGCCATAAACTGTTGTGATTGGGCAGTCCAGAGAGTGTGAGAGAGAAGAGGGGGTTGGGGTTTGCATTAGAGAAGAGTTAATAACAAAAATAAGTTACTGAGTCACCAATTGCAGTCGGGCAGATGTTGTACAGTCAGTCCTGTATGTGTGCCTATATGTATATGCATGTGTGTGTGTGTGTAAGGCCATGAAATGTTTGGCGTTTGGGGTTATGCGCCACTTGAAAGAAAAAAGCCTCTGGTCGAGCAAAATTGATAAGATTGCGAAGAAATATTTCGATATATGTAGCTTTGGCTTCTTGCCCACTGCTCAAATGCTCAAAGCGAACAACTTTGGCGAAACACGGAATCTAGACCGTGCTGATAATTATCAGCTAACCCCATACCAGATATACCAGATATTAATAAATGGGCGTTAAGCACGAGCTAGAGCTGCCCAGCAAAAGAAATCTTACGCAAAACTACCAGAAGAAGAATCAACGCAAAACGGGTTAGGGCAAAAAATAAAACAACAACAAATATGATGAAGTGCAATTTGTGTTGTTGTCTCAGTTGCCAGGGGCCAATGAACGAAAGGGGCCGGCGAGCGTAAGACAATGAAGGGGGAAAAGAGAGAGAGAGAGAGAGAGAGAGAGAGAGGGTGGGGGAAACGGGGCTATTTGAATAGAATCCAACTAATAGAATGGAATGCTGTTCAGGAGAAACAACACACAAAGCAAAACAAAAAACGAAAGGTAAGATGATAATGAATAGAAAACAATGCTAAATGCTAAAAATTAAAAAAAAAAAAAAAAAACAAATGCCAATAACAATTTCGTGCGAGTGACTAAGACCAAATCAACTTTTTGACAGCCAAGAACAATATAACAGCAGCAACAGCAACAGCAACAACAACAACAACAACAACAACGACGACGACGACAGAAATCCCCACAAATAAATTCATACACACATGTATGTAGTCACGTTTGTGTGTATGTGCATGTGCATGTGTGCATGTGTATGCATGCATGTATGTACGTATATAACCGGTTGTTTCTCTCTTTACTCGATAAGACATTCGTATTCCCCTCAGTCCGTTTGTTGTTATTGTTGCAGTGTTAAGCAAAAACAAACTGAGAAAGGCACACAAAAAATGTTAACGGTGAAATATGCAAAAGTGTGAAATTGAGTGAATGCTGTGTTTGAAGATGTAGACGTGACATTGATAAGCCCGCCCTTGTCTAAAATGGAATCTGCAAATAACGCGCAGCCGCAGCCGCAGCGGCGACGGCGACGGCAGCGACAGCGACAGTTTGGGGAGCATGCATAAAAATAGAGCGTGAGAGAGTGAGCAATGCAAAAGAAAAACCGCAATTTGATGACTAGAGCGAGCCAGCAGTCGGTTGAGGGCAGGGAGGGGTAACAAATGACGGCGTTGATGATTCACAACTGTTTGACACGCGCAACTCAGTAGAACTTTCACCAAGAGCAAGGGGAACGCGCAAAGACGGGCGTTTCGGATAAAACAAGAATATTCATTCATGCATACGCTCGCATATGCAGCGACACCGGCAGAGCCAGAGAGAGCGTAGATATCTTAGAGAGACATTTGGCTTACCTTGTCGAATATTTCGCGCATTTTTCGGCGATCCTCTGGCTCCTGCACTGAATTGGAGTGATTTAGTGGTATCTCCTCCATATCAATGGTGTCCTGACGCAGCGTTGGCGGCCGCACTGGACGCGATGGCGATCGCCGCTCGGGCGGTATATTAGGATAAAGCCCATTTTCAACATCCCGTTGGTGCTGCTGCTGCAGCTGCTGGGCGGGCGTTTGGCTCTGCTGGCGCGTTACCGATTTTACAGGCATTCTCTCTGTCACTTCGCGGGACAGTGGGGCGGGGGGAAAATTCGTTTGTTTTTTTTTTTTTTTGCCTGTGGCTTGGTTTGTTGTTACTTTCGGGGCTTACAGTGCTATTTCAATGTTAAGGCCAATTTTAACGCGACGATGACACTTAGTAATAACTTGTGCTTCGACTCATGCTTGCGATAAGATTATTAGTTGGCCATAAAAACTGGCAGGCACACACAACCACAGGCAAAATGAAATGCAGTTTGAAATCACACAAACAACAAAAATACTAAAAAAAAATAAAACAAATAGGAGTCAAAGGTACCGCACTAAACGAGCTAAACACGTCCGCACAGCTTGCTCATTCGAAATAGAATGAGAGAGAAAAGGAATGAAAGAGAAGAAATTGAATGAAACACTGTGTAGCTAACGCATATGTTAACTCACAATGCGCTGTTGCGCAAGCTGGTCACACTGCTTATGCAATTCTGTTAACTGGTCAGCATTCTGTTAAATGGTATTGCCACCCTGTCGTCTAAGGCAGCTTCTGGCAGCACCGTTGTGTTTTTGAATTTTGTCTAACGGACTGAAATTTAAATATTGTAGACTTCTTTTGTATTTGTATTTGCTTGCCGCTTTTTATTTATTTATTTGTTACATCCTACAATGCTGGGTAAGCCGTGCCTATTTCCTATTGCATTTTTTCCTTCTAATTTCATCGCATTCTGCTGGCTTGTGGTCTTAATCAACCTCTTGCACCGCACACATGCATACATACAATTTACTAAATTTATAGGTTTATAAATTAGTTTTCATATTTATTTGATTTTTGTTTTAATACGTATAAATAAAAACTTAAACAAATTTACTGCACACACATTTTTATATCTTGCTGACTACTCAAAAAAAAAAATTATTTTAAATATATTTTTGTATTTGTTTTTTGTTTTTGTTTTTTTTTTGTTTTTTGTATTTTTTGTCTGTCGTGTTTTAGAATCTTTCAAGTTTTCAACATTGTGTAACATAGTTTGCTAATTTACTTGACGCCGTTCGTAGCATTTCCTTAATAAAATTGTTGCACTCTCAACAAATTTTTATAAATGTTTATATATTAAATATTCTTGTCTAAAATTTGCAACTATTTCGTTTTAGACTTTTAGTTTTCCTCTTGAGTTTTGCTCTCTGTTTTCGTTCTCGTTTTTGCCATTTACTAATCGCGTTTTAAATAATTAATTACAACATTTATATCGTTTTTTTTTTTGCTTTTGTTTTTTGAAACAGCTACGCGTTGTCTGCTTCTTCCATTTTGTGTTTCCCTTAGCCTAATGCCTAGCTTTCAATAGTTTATTGTTTTTTCTTTTTCTTTTCAATTTTTAGTTTTTTGTTTTTTTTTTGTTTTTTTTTTTACAGTGCCTATTTAAGATGGCTACTCTATTTCATATTGTATTGCATACTATTTATTTGCTTGCTGGCGGAATGTTGCTTATTTTTTGTTTTTATTGCATTTTGGGTGTTTTTTTTTGTTGTTGTTTGTTTTGGATACTCGTATTTCGTATTCGTATTTCTTTCTTCTGTTTTATTTGGCAATGACGTACTGATTCTGTTGTTTCTCCTTCATCGTTTTATTCTTGTTTACAACTCTTCCTGCTTTCGCTGCTCTCACGTAGCTTTTTATTAAAAATTAATCGTATTACTGCATATAATTTATGTGTATATTTATATGTATAATTTATGTATATATTTATATAAAGTAAATAGATTACGTAATTGTAACATTCGCTTGCTTCTGCCCTTGCACTTCCATTGGCTGCTCGCCATCTTCTCTCTCTCTCTCCCTTTCTCTCTGTCTCCATCTCTCTTTCTCTCTCTCTCGCTATTTTGCTTCTTCAACTCTTACGCTACTTTGTTTCAACATTTGCTTTCTCTTAACGGATTGTTTTTGTTCTGTTAAAGGATGGGTGTTCCGAGTTGGAGTTCGATTTCGATATTTAGCGATTTAGAGTACAGACTGGCCAGCGTTACAAAAACTGAAACTCTTTTTATTTTTTTTTTTTACAATTTCAATTCGCCCTTGAAATTAAGGAAGTGCTAAACAAATTCTTATCAAATAATCATAAAAATTGGGTGAAAAAAAAATATTTAAAAAAAAATCAATTTAAAAGTTGAATAACAATTTTTGTGAACATACTTAAGTAAAAGGAAGTTTAAAAAAAAAATTGGAATGCTTGAAATATTAGGAAAAGTTTGTCCACAAACAAACAATTTACATAGATACATTCATAAATAACACGAGTATATGGGAACGGGCTAAGTTCGAGTTAAAAAGTAGGTAAATAGGCAAACTACATATGCAAGTACATATATGCTCAATTATACAAATTGCGGAAGGATGCCCTGTCTCCCGATCCGGTGACAGCAGCTGCTCCATCTCCAAATGGTTGAGTTGAAACGTATTTACAAAGCGGGCGCTGGCTCATCGTCGGTAAGTGGTAAATGGCTCGATGCGGGGCTGAGGCAGGGGCAGGGGCTGTGGCTGGGGCTGGGGCTGTGGCTGGGGCAGGAGATGGTGATGGCGATGAAGATGCGCTGCGTCCGGTTCCGAGGCTATTATGATTCGTCACGATTGTTGTGCACCCACTGGGCCGGCACCCATTGCGGTTCGCGCTCCAGCGAATTGATCTCCGCCAGCAGTTGATGGTAGGCGCGCTCCGTATCATTGTTGATGATGATCATGTCGAACAGATGACCCCAGCGCGCCTCCATGTCCCGCGCGGTTGCGATGATGTCCTTAAGTTCCTCTTCCTGTGCGTAAGAAGAAATTAAGAAAAATCGATTTATCGTATAGCTTTTTCAATAGTAGCAATTATTTCAAATAACGATTAACGATAACGATAACGATAACGATAAGCGACTTGACACACTAAGTAGTAGTAAATCTGTCAAATGTTTGCGACACTCAATCGAAATCTTTGGATATATCGAAATTAGCATGACGCACATTTTGTAAAGCGCCAAATGTCAAACGGAGTTGGCGACAAGGATAAGGACTTTAACGATAACGATAACGATGACGATTTCGATAACGTACCTTAAACGGTTCGCCATTGCGCAGCTTCTTCTGCCGCAGCTTATCGAGGCTTGGCGGCGCCACCAGCACCACATAGGGCTTGAGGTCGGAGGCGCGTAACAGTTTCAAGCTCTGCGGATGCAGGTTCAGCACACAAATCTTGCCACTGGCAACGACTGTGCGAATGGCCTCAAGTGAGGTTCCTGCAAAGAAACATACGAGAATATGGGTAAACAATCAATCAATCAATCGTCCCAGAATGGCTGCCCCTTTTGGGCGTGGCAAACTTACCGTAGTACGCCTTCTCATACTCGCCGTGCTCGACAAAGCGACGCGCCAGAATATCCGCCTCGAAGGCCTGGCGCGTTATGAAGTGATAGTCTACGCCGGGCACCTCACCCTCGCGTCTGGCCCGTGATGTATCTGCATAATTGGAAGAGAGGAGAAGCCATGGAGCAATGGATGAGTTGATGCATCTATTGGAGCACAGTGGGATTGAGGGGGGTATGAGGGGGCTGTGAAAGAAGCCAGCACTGAGAAAAGACGCATCATAAGCATTGGATATTTATTGAATTGATCTCTTCCCAACTGGGAATCATCTTTGCATGCAGCTGATGGACTTTACTCAGTGTAAGGGTATTGCTAGCAATGCGCTGGGAATCAGTTGCGACTGCTTTACCCTTGGCTGCTGGTTTGAGCTTCTCCTCAAGCAAGTAGAAAACTGCGAGAGAGAGAAAGTAAGATAGACAGACAGAGAGAGAGAGAGAGAGAGAGAGAGAGAGAGAGAGAGCGAGCAAACGAGAACAGGGACAGACTAACACGGAACTCTACTTACGTGGCACTGCCGCCGAGAAACGCTCGGAGTCGGCCATCAAGCGCTGGCGCAGCTCATGTCGGCCAATGTTGGGCGGGCCGATGAGGACAATGGGGCGCTTGTGGGTGGCGCGGGGATAGTAGAGCGCCACCTCCTCGTAGGTGAGTATCTCCTCGGGATCCGTTTCGTCTGGCGCCGTTGTTGCGTACAGCGGATAGCTGTAAAGGGATTTGAATATAAACTTGGTTGACTGGTTGGTTCGGCTGCCCTGCCATCACAACTTACCCCGCTTCGGAGCTAGCCTTCTTCTTCTTCTTGCGACCCTTGCGGGCACAGAGAAGCGTAGCGCCCTTGCTGCTGGCACCCTCTTTGCCACGGGAGCGAGCCAGACCCGCTTCCTCGGCAATAGCTAGCTTCATGGTCTCGCGCTGATGCTGGAAGGACTGACTAGGAATGAGGCCGGCTAGCGTTTGATCCTCTTCGCCCTCACGATACGCCTGCCACCAGTTGGGGTCCTCGCGGGAGATCACATGCAGCACATCGCCCTTTTGGAAGCTTATACCCAGCTCCCGGCACGGTATGTACAGATCATCCTCCGGATCGTAATCAAAGTGGGCACGCACGTGCAGCACGGCCGTATCCCGATGCGCCATGCCGCCCACCACATGATGCATGCCCAGACCGCTGCAAAGGCCGCCGCCCGGCGGCGGACTGCCGGCAGGCACAATCAAAAACGTGAGGGTGCCCTGCATGGCACCCAGCAGGGCGCACACCTCGTTCACCGTTTTGCCGCGCAGCTCCTGGCCGTTCACCTCCAGAATCTCGTCGCCCTCGTGCAGCAGTCCGGACTTCTCAGCGGCACCGCCACGCACAATGCGCCCGATGACCACGGCCTCACCCTCGTTGCGAACGGTCGCTCCCAGCGGCTCCGTTGACTTTTCGATCTGTATGATCCGTATGTTGTCGTTCTGATCGTTCAGTGTGCCAAAGCATGCGCTCATGCCCGGCGGCGATTCGCCGCGCACCGCCACAGCCACAGGCAGCGGCATTGCGCCACGCTGCGCCACCGATGAGGCTGGCACCACTGGCGGCAGCACCGCCATGCTTCTGCTGCTGGCCGACACCTTGGCCGCCGGCACGGGACTGCTGTGGCCGCTGAGCGTGGTGGTTGTGACCGTTGGCGTATGCGACGGTGTCGGCATTGTGCCCGTCGGCGAGGGCGTGGCATCCGTGTGGCTGGCAATGCGATCGTGCGCCAGCAGCAGGCCCTCCATCTCGTGGCTGGTCAACAGGTTGCCCAGCTCAATGGCCGCCGCTGTGTTCGACTGCGTCAGCAGCTCCACGATCTCCTTCTGCAGGCCCAGCGCGTTAACGTGCAGCGGTCCCGCCACCCGCGGTCGCCTGCGCTGCAGCACGGCGCTCCTGGCGGCAAGCACATGCGCCACACTGGCGCTGGCCAGGACGTTGTGCGCTGCCGAGACACGGCCCGCTAGCGTGCTTAGCCCGCTCTTCGCCAATTGGCCCTGGAGGCGTGTTAGCGCCGCGATCAGCTCACCGTAGCCTGTAAGAAATATTTGCAATTAGCTGCAGGCATATCCTTAGCTGGACTCTTAAAGCTGTGAAGTGGCTGCAATGGATTGAGGCTTTCTTGGGAATGGTGTGATCTGTTCATCTGGGCAGAGAGTTTGTTCGCCCACCGTCGATCAGGGCTACTTTATTCGGGAGCCCTCTAAGCCCTCCGAGCACAATACACTGTCTCGCTAGCAGAGCCATTCCCTCTCTTTCTTTAGCGACCTACTGGAGTATATTTGGTCTCTTTCTCAAGTGGGGAGCAATCAAAAGGGGTTGGCCCAAGCTACTCAACGCAGATCAGCAGGAACTCCATAAGAGTCATCCTAAATCCTGATATTATAATTGGGAAGCTGTGAAAAACTATTCTATATTTCTACTATGTGTCTATCTACTTGTTCCCTAATCGATCAACATTTCATTCCGAAGCAGCTTCTCGGTTCAGGCTGTGCGTTGAGCCCCAATCAGTCGGCTCAGTCCTTCAGGCAATCAACCCAGAAAGTTGTACACATATTGGTTATTTACTCTTGTCAAAATTTAGCGGCGAGTTTAACCATCTGGCTTGGCACTTCCGAATAAAATGTAATTGCACTTGGTATCCTAAGATACAATATCTTCCGCTCGAATCTTTGAATGTGGCTAAGCATTCCATTGACAATAGGATAGCACTTGACAACTGCATGTCAACTTGACTTGAAGTCTGGTTGTATTGTCTCTGATCCCGATTTGTGCCCTGGCCTTGCACTTACCATCAATGTGCTCCGTTGGCGTGACATCCTCATCCGGCAGATAGGCCTCGTTTTCCACGCCGGCAATTGTTGCTGCCGTGGCTGCTGTTGTTGCTTGCTGTTGCTGTGCCAGCGCCTTGCCAGCTGTGGGCGTGGCAGTTGCCGTGTCCTGGAGCGCCTTCAGTTTGCGTGAGCCGCGCAAACTGTTGCGCAGAAACTCATTCTGCTGGGCGATGCGCTCCTCCTCCTCGCGTCGACGTCGCAGTTGCTCCTGCAATTGCAAAAAGACAGACACGCAGAGAGAAAGGGAGAGAGAGAGAGAGAGAGAGCGGTTAGTTGCGGAAGGTGTAAATTTGAGGCTTCGGTGCGCGTACTTAATCCGCGTTCGCGTCCATTCTGCTAATTGAATTAGCAGACTGACAAAGAGCGCAAACAAAGCTGCCACGAATAAATGCATACCCTGCACTCGGAGGCATTCTATGGAAGTATTCAATTATGTGGTAAATGCATTGCAGTCCGGCAATCTGCCACAAGCCAATGCCTTTCCCGGAAGAAAGCTATGCGCGGCATGCAACAAATCCCTGAAGCGGGGCATGCAACAAGCACATTGGCGAAAGACTGCTTTGACCGGCAAACCAATGAGGGGCTGGGGGAAGGCTTAGTGAAACCTCGCAAGTGCTTGGCTCGGCTCGGATTGGGTCAGTGGGTTGACTAACACTTGCCAAACTGCGCCTACCTGCCTAATGTGCACCAAAGTGGCAACAAGACCTAAAATCCATAACCTTTGAACACCGACCGTGCAGTACAGTACGTCATATCTATTACCCGAGATCTTAAAAAAAATCATCGAAAAGTTTCGATTTTCGCACCGACCTCGATTTTAAAAAAACCGTGATGATTTAGAAGGTCATATCTCCGGGGGGAGTTATGTCGTTTTGGAACGGGGGGGGGGGGGGGGGGGGGGGGGGGGGGGGGGGGGGGGTTATGTCGTTTTGGAACGTCATGTCTCCTCGCGGAGCTATTACCCGAGATATTAAAAAAAATCATCGAAAAGTTTCGATTTTCGCACTGACCTCGATTTTAAAAAAACCGTAATGATTTAGAAGGTCATATCTCCGCGCGGAGTTATGTCGTTTTGGAACGTCATATCTCCGCGCGGAGTTATGTCGTTTTGGAACGTCATATCTCCGCGCGGAGTTATGTCGTTTTGGAACGTCATATCTCCGCGGGAAGTTATGTCGTTTTGGAACGTCATATCTCCGCGGGAAGTTATGTCGTTTTGGAACGTCATATCTCCGGGGGGAGTTATGTCGTTTTGGAACGTCATATCTCCGCGGGAAGTTATGTCGTTTTGGAACGTCATATCTCCGGGGGGAGTTATGTCGTTTTGGAACGTCATATCTCCGCGGGGAGTTATGTCGTTTTGGAACGTCATATCTCCGCGCGGAGTTATGTCGTTTTGGAACGTCATATCTCCGCGGGAAGTTATGTCGTTTTGGAACGTCATATCTCCGCGGGAAGTTATGTCGTTTTGGAACGTCATATCTCCGGGGGGAGTTATGTCGTTTTGGAACGTCATATCTCCGCGGGGAGTTATGTCGTTTTGGAACGTCATATCTCCGCGCGGAGTTATGTCGTTTTGGAACGTCATATCTCCGCGGGGAGTTATGTCGTTTTGGAACGTCATATCTCCGCGCGGAGCTATTACCCGAGATATTAAAAAAAAATCATCGAAAAAGTTTCGATTTTCGCACTGACCTCGATTTTAAAAAAACCGTGATGATTTAGAAGGTCATATCTCCGCGCGGAGTTATGTCGTTTTGGAACGTCATATCTCCGCGCGGAGTTATGTCGTTTTGGAACGTCATATCTCCGCGGGGAGTTATGTCGTTTTGGAACGTCATATCTCCTCGCGGAGCTATTACCCGAGATATTTAAAAAAAAATCTTCGAAAAAGTTTCGTTTTTCGCACCGACCTCGATTTTGAAAAAAACCGTGATGCCATTTTGTCAATTTGGGTTAAAATTTTGAATTAAGCACTTATGATAAAAAAAGGAACTTAAATAGCATTACAGAAAAAAGTCGCAATAACCATGCTGTTAAAATGCGAAGCAGACGCGCATGAATGTGTATTTGTACATGTATAGAGAAATGCTTAAAGATGCTGCTCTATTCAATTGCCCAGTTGCATATAACTTTGGTTTTTTTTAACCGATCTTTATGAAATTTTCTACAGTATATCTTATTGTATCATAGAATATTTGTGTATACTGAAAAAGTCAATTGCATTTAAATTTTGGCTTTAATTGGTTGGCAACAAAAGTTGGGTTATCAACTTGATTTATAGCTCTGGGGTGGTAGCGGAGAGGTGGCGATAGGTATAATATGAAAGATACTTGACAAATATATAATATTTTAGAAGCAACATATCATGTTTCGTGACTCTAGCTTTAATGATTTACCAAAATTGCCCAAAAAACAGGATATTGATATCGATCTTTATCGATTTCTTGGAAACGGAGTAAGTTATCGATTATCGGAAATAAACTCGATCTGCGCAGGAACTAGGAGGACCTATATCTACATTTCAAGTCTCTAGCTCTTATAGGTTCTGAGATCCTTGGTTCTGAGATACGGACGGACGGACGGACAGACGGACATGGCTAGATCGACTCGGCTATTGATGCTGATCAAGAATATATATACTATATGGGGTCGGAGATGCTTCCTTCTGCCTGTTACATACATTTGGATTTTGCACAATTACAATATACCCTTTTACCCATTTTTAATGGGTGCAGGGTATAATGAAGAAGACAAATCACAATAACGATAAATCGCTTGATATTCTCATAAGTAAGCACTATCAGTAGTATGTATGTATGTACATATGTATGTACATATGTATGTATGAAAAAGATAAGTCATTTTAAGCAGCGGCGTGTCAAAGTTGCGTTTTGGGTTCCGCTCTAAACTTGACCAAGAAAGATAACAAAGCTGGCCAAGCACAGCTGGGACCTTGCCGCCGCTTTTCCCACACTTTTATTCTCGGGGGTGTTCGTTCGGTGAAACAAAAAGTAAAAAACAAAAATGGAAAAGAAAAACTTAATTGAATAACAACAGAAAGGCGCTGCAAATACAAAATACATAAAGAAAAAAAAAAAAAAACGAAAACGAAAACAAAAGCCACGCAAAACAAGTAAGAAGTTGCAGTCGGGTATAACCGACGGCGAGATACTCAAGGCACAGTCCAATAACAGCCGAAGAGCCAGCGATTGTTATCGATATACCGGGTATCGGGCACTTATCGATCTTTAAAGAAGCTCATCGATAGACTGCAGACGCTATAGACGTTCGGACGGACAGGACATTCCACAAAACCGGCATACTCTCTTTTGCATTGTGAACAGAGACAAAAGAAGAAAATTTGCTGAACTTGCATAATGTGAATGCAGAGGCGAACGAATGGAAAAGAATAAAAGAGACGAGCAAGAAGCGACAAAATAAGCAAAAATATTCAGACAGCATATGTTCACGAACAGCTGGTCGGACGGAGGAGGGAAGGGTGTGGAATGTGTGTGTGAGCCGGGGTGTGTGCGGGTGCTGGGGAATTCAGTCTGCTCGTTGTAGCATGAGTAAAAAACTATGCGAATCAAATGAAACTGGAAAGGCGACAGCTACAACACGAAATAGCGATGCGTTTAGCATAGAAGCAGGAACTCGAATGGCAGCAGATAAATACATAGACAGAAGCTGGTTGCCAGACAACAATTTGCAGAAGAAGAACAAACAACTATAATTGACATTGGCAAGCTAGAAGTTAACTACACACACACACACACACACACACACACACACACACAATTTGTATTCAATTTAAACTGAAACTGGCTTTGGATTTATTTAGTTGTTTCCACTTTTGATCTGCCGCAATACGCTTCGATCAAACGTAAATCCTACTAAACTTGCGACTCATCAATCGACAACAACAACAACTTAACGTTTCATTCTGGTTGTTGCTGTTGTTGCTGTTGCTGCGGACCATGACATCATCGTTAGCAACATCATGGAGCAACCTGCGCGTCGTCGGGCACAAAATAAATATATTGCAAAAGCGCGTTAAACGAAACTTAAAAATTTATTAACATGCCTACTTTTTTTGTGTTTTGCTTTTGTATTAATTGTTACTCTTGCCGAGCCAAACGGCCGTCTCAACTTTGTCGCAGACTTTGCGACACGTTGAAACATTGGAAAACTGGAGAGTAAAAAGTTCAAGGGCCAAGCAATTGTCTATTTGTTTGTTTGGAAATCAAGCCCAAAACTGAAGAGCGCACAAACTGAAACCACAAATTAATCAAAGCGAGTAAACGAGCGTATTTTGTTAAACCTGATATAAAGTTGTTAAAAAGACTTTGCAATTGATACGCATAATCCAATCCAATTGAACATATCGAGAAAAACCTAATAAGTTAGATGCCGATCAATGCAATGGGCAGAGTATCAAAGTGTCGGCGTGCGCTGGCCAAAGAATTTGTCGGCTATCGCTGGGAAAGCTGTTGTTGTTATTGCTGTGGCTCTTACTGTCGTCGACCAACTGCGGCAGCCAGTTAGCCTAGTTTGCTGTTAACTGGTTGCCGTTTGCAGTTAGCATATATACATATGTAGGTATGTATGTTGATAAAGCCAGCTGGCGATAGCAGCTGAAGGTTGCTGCCATTTAAAGGGAAAACCAACAACAGCAACAGCAATAGCCCGAGTTGGGGCTTTCAAATATTATTTTGGTTGCTGCTGTTGCAGTTGCAATTTCTGTTGCTGCTGCTGCTGCTGCTGCTGCTGCTGCTGCTGCCTGCCACACTTGCCTGTTGTTGTCGCAAACGCATCGAAGAGCGCTGAATTTGTGTGCCCCGACGCAAGGCGGAGGCGCTGCGGTACGGCGTGTTGCTGGCGGATGATCCTTGATGTTGTTGTGGTTGTTCGATTGTCCCTGTTGTGTTCGTATTGCCGTTCATATCACAATATTTGTTAATGTTGTTGTTGTTGCTGTTCGAATTGAAGCATTGCTTGTCGTTTTCCTTTTCAACGAGCATTTGCTGCTGCTGCTGCTGTTCTTTGCTGCTGCTGTTGTTGTTGTTGTTGTTGTTCACAATTTGTTTGTTGTTGTTGTTGCACAACACATTCAACCTGGCAGGCGTTGTTGCTGCTGTTGCTCCTGTTGCCTCAGCTGTCACACGCTGTGGCTGCTGCTGCTGCTGTTGCTGTTCGCCACCAACA